AAACATTTTCCCCCATTTTGTGTCCCCCCCCACTTCTCAAACCAACGTTACACCCTTGGGCATTTGGTTAATTGTGTCAGGGGCGCACAAAAACAGGTGAACGCGACAGATTGCGCCCTGAGAAATTCCTTGCGAATTTTCTTTTAAAAGAAGTTGACCCCCCTGAAATTCATTGTTTAATTCGCACACTGAAAACACATCCCCTAGTGCTGGCTTTGTCGAGCTCTTTGGGACAAAAGCCGTCATTTCGGAGGCAGCAAAGCGGTTTCAGATGTCCGCCGGGCGCTCAGGATTGGTAAAACTGGAGCGGCAGTTCCCCAGAGCCGCTATTCACGGAGACACACTGGCCTCGTTCATTATGTCAGAATACATCTCCCTTGCAGCCTTGTAAGCTATATAGAATTATTGAATTCTCAGATATCAGGTGTGATGGGGAAAAGCGGGCAGAATAGAGACGGTTTCAGTCAGATAAGAAAATGATTTAGTTCTGAAGTGAAGTGAATCGCTAATCGCTCTCCTGCGGTAATAACTCTTATCCATGCTTTGCGCAGCACATGCTTCCAGGTTCTGTAGGCCTACAAGTGAACAATGATTTATTAGATTAAGACTTTGATTGGAATTTCAGATTTGCCCTGTGGCGTCTTGCTTCTGGGTCTCCGGATAAATTAGTTCTAGGAGGTCTTAATTAATCCGATATATGAGAACAAATTAAAGTAGGCTAGTTGAAGGATAGACTTTGTATTTTTCACCTAAGCTTAATTTGTCAACAGTCATAATTACATAGGCCTAGCTTGTAACACAAAATTCTCACTGCCCTTGTATTTAATCTCAAACTTTCAGTTAGCCTATGTCTCTTTGCTGACAATTCAATGTATTCTTTCAGTCTTAAGGCCCGTTCACACCAAGTCCGATATCGATATAGTTTTAAAAATCGTTCTAAATTTAAAAGGATAGCCGAGTCCACGCCACATCTATAACGATAACGGCACATAGGAACGATGTCGTTAGAATCAATTTCAAAACGTTTTTTCTTCCCACTGCAGATGAACGATAAAAACATTGACAGCCAATCAGCATCTTTCCTGCTAAAGCGGCAGAAGTCAATTCGCACTTGTAATAAACAGAACGTATAGTCCGCTGGTGTGGACGCTAATATAGACATCGTTGTGGAAATCTTCATAGTTATCCTTCCTTAGTGTCAACAGACCCTAATACAGGGGTCTTTCCAAGCCAAAGACCCCTTGGTGGATAGCGCTACAGACCAGGGGCCCCCTGTTACATATTGTAAAAAAAAAAAGGCATTGAATGCATATTATAACATTAATGTGCTTACATATTTTTATGAACATTTCAGTAATCATTTTTAATGAGTCATGCACATTACATTTTAATTGTACTTAATGCATTTGTAATACATTTGAATGTGGAATGAATATTTAGTTGAACTTCAGCTTTGGTTGTCACAAATTATTTCAGTAGGCTAATTGACAAACTGCCTGGACTACCAACAAACTATGTGTGAACTGAATTTTTATATATTTTTTCCCTTTAAAGAGGTCCTTAGAGAGCAACACATCATCAACAGAACAAACAGAAGCACAGAAGCCATCACCCCGCAGAGCCATCGGTAAGAACTGAGCAGAATGTTACAATAGTTTAGGAGGCCCAGTGCTCTCTTTGTGTATGTTTTGGTTCTTTGTGCACGTTCCCCCTGTTGAACGATGCTCTATGTGTTTTTTTGTTTCTTTTTTGCTTGCATGTCTTGTTGTTGACACCTGCACATATGATTAGGGGTTAATCTGTAAGGAACTGTTTGTTGATGTGTGTGTACAAGAAGTATGATACTACTTTTATTTGTGCATTGCATTTAGTAAGATATTATAAGCTATTATAACATATTAATAATTACTGTGTGTGCAAGTTTGTGATGCATAAACCTAATTCTTGTAAAGATAAACTGCAAGTAATAAGAGTTATGCTCATTTGAAATGTGAGAAAGGGACTGCCCCCTCTTTCACTAGACATCTGTTCAGCAGGCTGATGAGTGTCATCATTACACACAAGAGCGGGATTCATCTTAATGCTTCAATGACCATTTCAGCTACCAGATACCTTACACACGCTTAAATGCACTGAAACACACACTTTTTAATGTGCTTTATTTGTGCCATACAGGTGAGTGTACATCTTCTTGTCTGAATGGGGGTAGGTGTGTCCATCTAGACTCCTGTAACTGCACTTTATACCAGGCCACTGGAACACACTGCCAGACAGGTACTGTACTGCGGATCATACAATTTAATCTCATTTTGAGATTATTCATTATTGAGATTACTAATTTGAGATTAGTTTTGGCATGACAAATAATGGATAAAATGTTTCAGTCCCCAACCTAGGCTTTGAGCGAGAGATGACGTGCCGCTCGTGGGGACAATACAACTATGAAACCTTTGATGGACTTTATTACTACTTCCCTGGAAAATGCAGCTACACATTACTGAGAGACTGCGAAGACAGCACTCGGTCAAGTGTACATATACAGGTGATCTCTTATAATGTTTATAAAATAATATTTATTTCACTTTATTTTTAATCATTTTCTGTATAATAATAATAATAATAATAATAATCAATATTTACTACACTATACTTTTGGAATTTCACTCTATACTCCAGTTCATAGTGGTAGGTCACCTATAACCATTCAGCAACAATGAAAAGAGGGATCCAGCAAAACTTGTGGTGAAGGGTGCTTTATTGTATTTCAGCTTAGAAACCTTCATCAGTGTCTATCTACCACATAACCACCTATAACTATTTACCAGAAGATATGTCCTTTACCAAATAGTGATTTGTTGCCACCTGACTGTATTCAGCTACACGCTGTGTCTGGGGCAGCACCTTTTCAAAATGTATTAAATTATTTAGGTACTAATACAGTATGTACACTTTAGGTACTAAGATGTACCTTTGAGGTACTAATACACACTCTTTAGGGGTAAATAAGGTACAAAGGTATATCTTTTGAAACGGTACCGACCCATTGACAGCTTTTGTACCTTTTTTTCTGAGAGTGTATTAGCTTTAGATGTGGTTTGTTCGTCATCACTCCTCTGAGTAGATGAGACAAGGCTGACAGGAAATCGGCCCAGAATATTGGACTCATGTGCTGGGTGATTAGCAAACCTCGTGATGGCTGATATCAGTGTCCGTTCATATTTAGAAATCCCTACATTTGTTTAAGCAGGCTAATGTTCTCTGCTTTGCATCAGAGATGCCATAAGTGTGTGCGTACTGCACAGCTCTTGCCTGAGGAAAATATTTATTGGCATTCATAGAGAAAGTGATCTCATTATTATGGTCATTTATTCCCATTACAGTTTAATACAGTAATTACGGCCAGGGCCAAAACAGAATTGGCTTTGTTCTCTCAGACTCACTGATGGGAATCCAGAGGAGGTGAGCGAACTCAGCCAGGAGTTTCTTTAGGCCATTAGCTTAAGTGCCAATATAATTTATCAATGAATTGAAAGGATGGCCGACAGTAATGCAGAACTTAAGCAGGATTGGCCCGGCTGCTCTGGATAAGACGACTCCACTCTTTGATGGTGGAGAGGAAGCATCTTAAGAGCTGCACACACTTGCGGACACTTTATTTTAGTGATAATGTGGTTTACTTCCGTTCTATTTTAGCATTGGAATTCTTTTTAGCTTCAAATTTAGCTTTGTTTTAGGTCTTTTTTTTTCACTTCTTAATATGGAAAGATTCTTATATCATGCTTAATTGCTAATTATTTATCTGCAGGTGCATAATGACCCAGAATGCAGTTCTTTCCCATACTCCTGCACTCGTTCAATCAGCCTCTTCCTGCCGTGGGAGGGGGAGATTAGGTTACAGAAATTCAGTGTTACTTTCAAGGGTCAAAGGTAATGAACATTCACATTCAACCATACCCTCTGTCACTTAAAGGCACAATATGTAAGATTTTTTTATTAAAATATCCAAAAACCACTAGAACAGTGTTATATATTTTGCTGACTTGTGTACTTCCATTATCCCAAATGTTTCGAAGAATGTTTAAATCCAGAGAAATACATAATAAAAGCTCCGCTGCTTTCGAGCCGTGTGTCACGCTCGTTCAGTGGCCTCGTTTCGCTTCGACGGCTTTCAGCCTCACCCTGCTTCATTCTACTACGTTAATAAATCATTAGCTCATCCATGAACATGATTTCTGCCTGAGTCCCGTCTGATTACATCGGCTGTGAGGATGAAGACGACAACTCCCATGATTCCACACTCAGTCACGGCGTCATCAAACTACGCCTTTGTCTCTTTGTTTATTTTGATTTCTAGCGGCGAAAATTACATATTGTGCCTTTAACCTCAACCTGACCTGCACGCTATCTCAGTCATTCTTTTAAAGAATCTGTTCAATGATTTATGTGTGAGTGTAGTTCTAACTAAACTTCCTCTCTCTGTAGTGTACAGCTGCCCCATCACATCCATGATGTTGAGCTGGAGCGAATCTCTGACTACATTGTAGTGTCTCAGCCACAGGGTTTCACGCTGGCCTGGCAGGGGCTCACTGGCTCTGTGTACATCAAGATGAGTCCTGAGTTTGTAGGACACACCTGTGGACTATGTGGCAATTTCAATGCTGACACTCAGGATGACTTGAAGACCAGCTATGGCAAGTTTTACTCAATTTGTTACAGATTGTGGCATTTAAAAATAAAACTGTATGATGGAAAGGGACAACATCAGCAAGATTAAATCAAGATTAGAAATTGTAGATTTTATTTGGCAATATAGAAAAATAGTAAATTATTTGAACAGTAAGAAATTTAAAATGACAGTGATTGTACAGTTAGTACAGAACATTTTGTTTATTAACAAATTAGTTCTTTACTCTTTCACATAATTTGCTTCAAGTCAGACAATGTGCTGATGAAGCTTAGGGTAACTGACATGAAAATTATAGGAAGTTGGAATGTCAACTGTGGTGAAACACAACTGCTGCATCTAAAGCTATTAAAAAATTATATGCATAATTATACATTCTTTCATAATTATTATGTGTACAGTTTTTGAGAATGGTTTTTACTTTTTAAAAAAGCATTTGTCACACCACAGGATCAGTTTTTTTCCAAAGTTAAAACAAAATAAAAATAAAACAAAGATTATTGAAATATGTTTTACAAGAAAATTCCCAAAAAAATTCCGAAAAATCGGAAAATTTTGTTTTCTACTTCAAAATTTCACATTTACTTCAGTGTGTTAATGTCTTTTGCTTTGTAATTGTGAAATGCTCTAGCAATTTCTGTGAAAATTGTTTTTACACCATTTTTTTTCAGTGTACATTTGAAAATCTTGATGTTGATTGAAAAAGCACATGAACACATTATGCATCACTCAAATGCATTTATCGCTATTTTCTACAGGTGTTTTCACACAGGATTTGGCTATGTTTGGAAACAGCTGGGCAGAGGAGGAGCCACAGCTGGGCAGATGTCCTGTTGTTCCCTCTCTTTACCCCTCGCCATGTGCCACGCAGGATCCTCGTGTCTTATTGGTACTGCACTCACACACGCACGCACACACTCACACACACACACACACACACACACACTCACACACACACACACACACACACACACACACACAACCACACACACACACATGCTGTATATTCTTGTCTCAGACCAACCTGACTCATATTCACATCTACACCCACTATACACCTGCTGAATAAGGACTCTGGTTCTTCACTGCAGAAAGTGGAGGAAGTTTGTGCCACCCTACTGAAGGAACCGTTCCAGTCTTGCCATGAATTTGTCAGTCCATATTCATACATGGCCAGTTGCTCCAATGACCTCTGCCTGTAAGTACTGACACAACACTGAGCTACTGACATTACCACACCTACTGGAAAGCTATAAACCTACCTGTACATTGCAAAGCTACTGACATTACTTTCCAAAGTGTTATCCTAAACATACTTATGCTGTTGATGTTATTGCACTATATTACTCTTGTATGCATATACTTTTTTCACCTGGTGCAGGTCTGGTCCCAATGGTGATGTCGTGTGCCAGGTTTTCACAGAGTATGCCAGAGCATGTGCCCATGCTGGACATGCGCTGCATAACTGGAGAGCACACTTTCCTGTTTGCAGTAGGTTACATTGCAAATACACAATTGTTTGTGATATTTGAGTATATTTTGTATAGTTGTATAAATGTACTGGTAATATTGTAAAACATATATTTCTTAATTCTAAATTCTAAAGTCAGATGTTTTTCTGAATGACTAAACCTATATTTATGTGGAGGTTGCTGCATCATTTGACAACTTTAAACAGTCTAAAGTTGATCTTAGTGAAAAATCAGTGTAAAAATTGTTTGCACCAAGAATAGGTTATTCTGGTGTGAGAATTGTTTATTCTAAACTATGGTTAAAAAATTTGTGGTCGGGAAGATTTATTTTTTTAATTAAGTATCTCACATGAATATATCTATAATTTAATCATTTTATATTAATAATACATTAATATATTTTTTATATTGTAATTCATTCCTGTGATGGCAAAGCTGAAATTTTTACCAGCCATTATTCCAGTTTTCACTGGATTGGTGCTCAAGTAACATTTATTATTATTATACATTTTGAAAACAGTTGTGCTGCCTAATATATATTTTTCTTTCACTATCCTTTAATGAATAGAAAGTTCAAAAGAACGTCATTTATTTGAAATAGAAATGTTTTGTAACAATAATAAACATCTTTACTGTCACAATCAATTTATATGTCCTTGCAAATAAAAGTATTAATTTCTTTCTTTAAAAAAAAACGTACTTATTCAAACTTTTGAAAAGTGGTGTAAATAAAAAAAATTAACAGTTCATGGAATATTGGTAACAATGTATTGAAATATTGCTATTGCCTGCATTTTGTAAAAGCAATTAGGTCATGCATTACAGTAATTTTGCCACAGCTGTTAGGCATGAAACTAAGATGTAAAATCGCTGTAACGCACTCGAGTAATCTCGAGTGCCTTATTACTTTATTTTTTCCTGTAGATATTCAAGTTGTACAATTTATCATTGTCAAATATTTAAGTGCTTTTGCAGTTTGGCCATTTAAGTGTTAAAAACTATTTTATTTTTTGCTGTGAGATGCATATTGTGAGAGTATCTGTTGTTCTTGGCTGTAGGTGTAGATTGCCCCGGTGAGCTCCTTTTCAGAGAGTGTATTACCTGCTGTCCCATGCACTGCAAGATCGAACACATGTGTATAGACAGCAAGCTGCAGTGTTTGGATGGCTGCTACTGCTCTGATGGTAGTAACATAATACTAAATGAACTAATCACAAGCTTTATATGTGTGTTCATTTGTGAATGTTTGAAGATAATGAAATAATTTGACTTTCTCTAGATTTGATCTACGAGAATGGGGTGTGTGTTAAGGCATCAGAGTGTCCCTGTGAGCACCACGGCATGCTGTACCCCTCTGAACATGTCATACAAGAAGACTGCAACAACTGGTCAGACACTATATTATCTTATGCACTGCATACTTGGTTGAATGAAGAAGCATTGAAACCTGTGTTTGGGTGGTACTGAATGTATGTATCTATTTTTGTTCTTGTCTCAGCACATGTGTTGGGGGCATATGGAACTGCACTGAGCACAGCTGTCCAGGTGTTTATCTGTTTTTATTTAACTTTTTTCATATTTACTGTATGCCCTCATGATGCCTATTTTAATTGTTTCCACATTTCATTCATTCTCCTCCTTCTAAACCACATTTCACTGATACCAACTGTATCTTATTTCAATTTTATTATCTTTTGATTGCATAGATTTAATTTATTTAGTCAAACATAACAAATCAAATTCTCCAGTCCTCATATAGTGCTTGTAATTTAACGCATATTAAATTGTACTGTAATATTGTACTGTAATATTACAGTTTTTATTGTATTTTTAAGAAGATTAAAAAATCTTTCAGACCCCAAACTTTTGGACAGGGATGTACTCTTTTTTTTTTCTACAGGGGAGTGCTCTGTGACAGGAGATATGTTCTTCCAGTCGTTTGATGGCCGCGTTTATACATTTCCTGCTACGTGCCAGTACGTTTTAGCCAAGAGCAGAAACTCGGGCAAGTTCACTGTGACCATTCAGAATGCACCCTGTGGAGCCGTAAGTCCCTGTGCACTTTCATGCCATCCGCACCAACACAAACCTTGAGTATTAGCACACGACAGAGAAAAGACTTAAGGCATGCCAGATGTAGCATGCCAAAGCTTTATTCATCACGTTCCAGAATTGCTCTAGTGTAGTGATCTAAAGAGTAATCTGGGAGCTGGAACACAGCTTCAGTAGACAGACTTAAGATTGCAGCTTCTAGATTTGAGTGATTAGTCAAGCTATTGGCTTATTAGCAGTTAGAGTAACTAGACTTATTAGTATTTTAGTTCAATTAATCTCTAGATTAGGCACAAATAATTGCACAGCCTTTCTTTTGGCTAAAGTTAAATTTTTTGGGCTGAGATGAAACCAAGTCCTAGATGCGCTTGTACCGTGATTAGACCCTGCTTAGCTTTGACAGATAAAACATGAAACGATACAAAACATGAAGAGATTCTCTCCCTCAAAGCCTTCCTTTCCTGAAGCCCAGACCTGCTGATGCTAAAACTCAACACACGGAGATCAGTCTGGTGTATAGTGTCACTGTCTGGACTCTGAACAAGCTATTCTGCTTATCTGAGCCTCTGAATGACAGAGCCAGACAGAGACTTTGTAGTTGCTGATAGAGAGAGAGAGAAGAGAGAGTGAGAGATGTATTTCAGTAAAGCGACTGGTGAAAGATCCTCACATAGGCACCTGTTGGTAGCGTCCATCATTTCCTTGAATGGAACAATTCAGAGACCGAGTGGTTTATCTCCTGTGAACAGCTCTCAGTAACACTTTCACAAGCATAAATGCTTAATTCCTAAACGACATGATTACTGAATTAGTCAAAATTGAATCAGATGAACAGATAAGTTTGTGTCCCTGTGCAGACATTCATCCATTGTTTTCCATGCAGTAGTTCTATAGCTGCTGATATTATGTGTGCTGGTATGGGACGTTCTGACTCTCTGATTTTGTTCTGCTTTGTTATGTCTGCAGAATCTGGATGGTGCTTGTATTCAGTCAGTCAACCTGATGGTTGACGAGGATCCACATACTGAGATCACAATGAGCCATAGTGGAGAGGTTTTTCTGGCCAGCCAGTTCAGGATCTCACTGCCGTATTCAGATGGTAATGTACTACAGCTGATCTGGAATGAGATGTTGGCATGGAAATGTACTATAACAACTGCAAAAATGAACCAAAAAGTACTACCATGGGTTTTTAGACTTTGAAATTGTTGAAAGCACCTTGGACCATTTTAATACCAAGGTACATGAATTTTAGTACCATGGTATATTTTAAAATGCCTTAATATTAACATGTGATGCCACCCCTTTACCATGGTACACTATACTTTTAGAAAAAAAAGGTACAATTGCTGTCACTGGGGCAGTACCTTTTCAATAGGTCCACCATTTTGCCTTATTTATCCCTATAGGGTGCATATTAGTACCTTACAGGTACACATTAGCACCTGAATGGTACATTTTAGTACTTAAAAGGTGCAATTTAGTACCTTTTGAATGGGTACTGTCCCAGTGACAGCTTCTATATCTTTTCTTCTGAGAGTGTACTGCCACATACTCTTATATTAGTAGATTAATATGGTATATTTTTGTGTTTTGTGTTTTGTTCTATTACCTTGAATGTGTTCCTCAACTGAATCGGCATACAATACTGATTACATACAGACTCATATCCAACACACTGATGTCCATCCATAATACCTAGTTTTGTGTTTTACTTTTAAAGCAAGTTCTTTAAAGAGTTCACACAAGAATGTTGTCATCATTTACTCACTCTCATGTCGTTCCAGACCTGTATGACTTTCTTTCTTTTGTGGAACATAAAGAAGATATTTTAAGAAATGTCTTATTGTTTTTTTGTCCATACAATGAAAGTCAGTGGTAACCAAAATTGTTTCATTACCAGCATTCTTCAGAATATGTTCTTTTATGTTTAGCAGTAGAAAGAAAGTCTTAAAGTTTTGGAACAACATGAGGATGAATAAATGACGAAAGAATTTTCATCTTTGGGTGAACTATACGCAATAAAAATATGGAACGATACACAAAAAGTTTAAAATGTGCATCTGTTATTCATAGTCCTTCATGTGTTTAATATAGTGATGTCTTCTCAGATGTGTTGCAGATCCAGGAGCTGTCATCCATGTTTGTTCAGGTGAAGTCATCGCAGGGTCTGCGGCTGCAGTATAACTGGAGGGAGTTCAGGCTGTACCTGCAGTTGGAGAAGCAGTGGAGAGATGATACTGTGGGCCTCTGCGGAACCTTTAACGGCAACATTCAGGATGACTTCCTGTGGGTTTCACTTTACTTCCTGCTTTCTTTCTCCTTGATATCTGTTTTTGCTAATATTCAACTTATTATCCAACTTTTCGTTTTTGATGTGTTACTTTAGTGCACCCTCTGGCATGATTGAAAGCACACCATACTTGTTTGGAAATGCATGGCGTGTGTCTTCAGCATGCGTACCGCGGCCCATCTTACCCCAGCTTGACCCTTGTGACACACACCAGCAAGCAGGTGACATGTTCACCTTATTATGCAAAACCTAGCGCCTTTTTAAACTTTAGGTTTTGTTTTTAATTAATACATTTTTTTGTCTGTATGGCTTGAATGACTGTTTGTGTAATTTCAGCCACTTATGCAGTGGAGAAGTGTGATGTGCTGATGCAAGAGGTGTTTTCTGCCTGTCATGAGTATGTGAGTCCAGTGGGTTTCCAGCTCCAGTGTCGTGCAGATGTCTGCAAATGTGGAGCGCCGTGCCTTTGCTCCATCCTCGCTCACTATGCCCGCACCTGCAGGAGACACGGTGTCATCATTGAGTTCCGCTCACACCTGCCTGAGTGTGGTCAGTCTAACACTTACTCATGTATTCACTATCATTCCAAAGTTTGGGGTCAGTAAGATTTTTTCAAATGTTTTTAAGAAGTGTCATATCATGTCATCTCACTAGGTTTTGCATTTATTTGATCAAAATATTGTGAAATAACTAATATTGTGAAATATTGTTTTGTATTTTAATGTATTTTAAAATGTTTTTTTTTTTTTTATTCCTGTGATGGCAAAGCTGAATTGTCCAGTCTTCAGTGTCACACGATCCTTCAGAAATCATTCTAATATGTTGATTTAGTGCTCAAGAAACAGTGGTGAAAACACTGATTATACTTTTTTGTGGAAATTGTGATATGTTCTTTTCTTGATTTTTTGGTGAATACAAAGTAAAAAGAAAAAAACAGGATCTATTTGAAATAGAAATCTTTTGTAACAATGTAAAAATCTTTACTGTGACTTTTGATCAATTGCTGAAAAAGTTTACATTTGTTTAAAAAAAGAAAGAAAGAAGAAAGAGAAACCTTACTTACCCCAGACTTTTGAGTACATACCTTGATAATCAACTAGTGTACTGACATCTTTATTGTGTATGAGATTAGAATTTATATGCGTGTGGCCTGTTTGGAATGTTTTTGCAGCCATCACGTGTCCATCTACTATGGAGTATGGAGTCTGTGTGTCGTCATGTCAGCGTCGCTGCCTGTTTCTGTCTCTCCCTCAGCTGTGTGGAGATGAGTGTGAGGAGGGTTGCGTGTGCCCGGAAGGAACATACTTCAACATGCATACACACACCTGCGTGCCACGGTAAAAGTAAAAAAATAGTCATATGGACTGCTTTATGGTGCTTTATAGTGCTTTTTTGGAGCTTGGCAGACGTAGTCACTACACACTGCTTCAGAATTCTTCTTTGGAGTTGGAACAACATAAGGGTGATTAAATAATGACAGAATGTTAATTTGTAATGAATTGTGCCTTAACAACTGTTAAAACAGTTTTTATCCATTATATTTGCTGCATATTTAGAACCGAATGTAGTTCCAAATCGCATGAGGATCATATTCATCTAATTCTGTCAATCACACAATGGTTTTTAAACAGCTTCCCTCCAGCACTTTAACTTGTGAAATTATAAAAAAATAATTAATGCAAAATCAACACCCTTCTAATTATTTAAACACTAGCTCTGTGGCTTTGACCTAGATTGAGTTATTTAGTGTGTGTGAGAGTGAAGTTATTTGCAGTCCTCGTTCAAGCAGGCTGTAAAATGTTATGGATCTGACAACCTCAGGTGTTGTATAACGCTTTTAGCCTCCTCACCCTCACATGGGTTCACTTCCCTTAAATGTCCTGTGTCCCACTGCCACATATTCCGCATGTGCTAGAGTTACAGCACTCACACTGGCAGAGGCTGAGAGAAAGTCAAAGACGTGATAGACTCTACTACAGACTCAACCGCTGCACTGTGGCCTGCAGTCTCTCACCTCTAACCCAACTACTGTACTAGTTCAACTCTCTTAAACTGCTCAGAGAGATTTTATTGTCTCATAGGTCACGTGAGCTGAATCATGACTATGGTCATCCTCACTCCTTACCACTGTACATTAAACATTAAATGTCTTTTGATTGGCTGAGATGTGTTATACAGCATTGTGGCTTTCAGTGTTAGGTTAGTACATTGTGTTACTAGAATAAAAAAGGAGTTAGATTTTTTCTCCTTGGATATGACATAATATATTGATTCTGAGTCAAACATTTTTTGGTACAGGAGTGAATGTCCATGTAGTTTTCTTGGTGCTGACTATTCTCCTGGAGATGTGGTCATGACATCATCAGGTGTACAGTAAGATTGTCTTTTTCTCTCATATTAAACATCACCACACTGTCAAACTCTCCATTATTTCACATTCCCAATTACAACTAGTGTTTTGTAAAGAAATAATGTTTTATCTATATATATCACAGCAGCCCAGTACAATAGACTCTATGCCTCACGTAAGTTAAAATCTTTTCTTTTTTTTTTACCTCAACAGAATTTGCCAAGATGGAAAACTTGTTTCCCAGAGCTCAGTTATTGGTGAGTGTTGTATTTCAGCATCTTGATGTTATTTATCCATGTGAAACTCTTTGAATGTCTGTAGTGTTTGCAGTTTGTTAGAATTTGCATATCTACAGTGCTGGAGTTCAGTGTATGTTCTCCTTCTCTCCTCTCTCAGATACCATGTGCCCACCAGGGCAGTTTTATGAGGACTGTGGGAACCGAGCAGACGGCCACTCGGCCAATAAAGGTTTAGCCTGTGAACAGACCTGTGAGTCGTATTTGCTCAACCTCACCTGCTCCACTCATGAGCCGTGCATGCCTGGCTGTGTCTGTCCCGCAGGGTGAGTGGGGTCTTTGTTGTCTTCATTCTTAGTGTCTGTTATCACTTACAAAAACATAATGTGGTAGATTCAACATATTCATATACCAGTGGCATCTGGAGCTTTGCAATATTTACAAATGGCAGTAGGCAAGAGACTCGATTAGAAACGTTAAACTGAATGCGTTACAAAAGACTTATTTCAAAAGCTGTCAGTTCAAAAGTTTGGGGGTCAGTAAAATTATTTCCAGTAAAACTTTTATAATGTTACAAAAGATTTTTATAGCAAATCTATGCTGTTCTTTTGAACATTCTATTCATCAAAGAATCCTGAAAAAGCCTCCAATTAACATTGTTTTTTTTCCCATTAAATCAAAGATACAAGTACTGTATCTGCAATGGATTCCTTGCTTTAGTGGGACTTGTGTGCATTGAATCCTACACATATATTTATATAGATACAGTAAAATTGTTAATAAAAAAAAAAACATATGAGTTTTTGATGTAATTTATCGTGAAGGCATGTAAACGTTTCCCATGGTATTATGATAGCATGTCCAAAAAACATGGGACAATCATGGTACTTTTTTGCAAGTGATACTGCCATTGTGCCATTTACTATGCTGTTTAAGTCTCTGCTTCAATTGGATGTTTTTACAAGAATTTGAGCTTTACTGAGTATTAATATGATTGCTCTTGGTGTATCTATTCAATGTCTCCCAAATGCATTTTGCACTTTTACGGACATCGAAAAGTATGTTTATTCTTCATCTGTATTGGTAGTTTTATTTTTATATATTTAAAAGGTTAGTTGTTTCCATGTTTGTGTGTGATGTAGAGGATTTAGTAGGTGAATGGCTGTATGTGTATTTACGTGTGTGATGGGGCAGTGATCCATGGCTAAGCTTAGGGGGTGGAATCGCCTGAGCAGCGTCAGGAACTACTCATTTCGGACCCAAAATGACAATTTTATAGCCTCCAATTAACATTGTTTTTTTTCCCATTAAATCAAAGATACAAGTACTGTATCTGCAATGGATTCCTTGCTTTAGTGGGACTTGTGTGCATTGAATCCTACACATATATTTATATAGATACAGTAAAATTGTTAATTAAAAAAAAAACATATGAGTTTTTGATGTAATTTATCGTGAAGGCATGTAAACGTTTCCCATGGTATTATGATAGCATGTCCAAAAAACATGGGACAATCATGGTACTTTTTTGCAAGTGATACTGCCATTGTGCCATTTACTATGCTGTTTAAGTCTCTGCTTCAATTGGATGTTTTTACAAGAATTTGAGCTTTACTGAGTATTAATATGATTGCTCTTGGTGTATCTATTCAATGTCTCCCAAATGCATTTTGCACTTTTACGGACATCGAAAAGTATGTTTATTCTTCATCTGTATTGGTAGTTTTATTTTTATATATTTAAAAGGTTAGTTGTTTCCATGTTTGTGTGTGATGTAGAGGATTTAGTAGGTGAATGGCTGTATGTGTATTTACGTGTGTGATGGGGCAGTGATCCATGGCTAAGCTTAGTGGGTGGAATCGCCTGAGCAGCGTCAGGAACTACTCATTTCCATTACACATGCATACACTGGGATTTTTAGCTTATCTGGGTCACATAATATTCTTAATCGAATTCCATTCAAATATTTTCTCCACATAATAAAACACCTTTTCACTGGCAGATGCAGACCATTGACATTCCAAGCAAAGTAGTGCAGATTTGCAGAAGCACACAAACTCCCACGCGCACTTTCACGGACAGATGACATTCTGCTCTAGATGTTGAGGTCTCACTCGGATGGTGTCTGCCGGAGCAGGTGATGATGTCGATACAGATCAGTTAAAGGGTCTCCGCTGACTCAGTGGGAACCTTTGCTGCCGTCTATGGCAGGTGAAAAGAGTTCTTTGTCGCTCAACTCCACTTCCCCCTCTTTTCTCCCCCTCGCGTCACGTTCCCACTAAAGGGGCCTCAGAGAGCACGACTCTTGCTCTATAGATGGATTTTTGTCATCTGATACATTTAATGCCAGTGTCTACACAAGCAAACTGAGGTTAAGTGCCATATCACAAGCTTAACTTCCTAAAGCCATCCCTAGCCATAACAGCATGATAAGACCTGGTCTCAGTTGTCCTTTTATCAACACCAACACCAGCAAGGGAGAGTCTGGGAATAAGCCATGTTCTGTTTTTTACGTTATTTGTGAAAAAATTTTGATCTGTGAGATCTAAAGCAGCTCACATTTTGTACATGACACACATTGATTTGGTTGCTGCACATAGGAGTGTGTGCTCAATGCTTTCTTCTTTGAGATTAGTTGCTGTTGATTTTTTTTTTCCTTTTACGCATTTGATTGTTTTTTTTTTTTTTAGACTTGTTTCTGAGGTTGAGATGAGTATGACACTTGGTTTGTAAGTGCTCTGACATTGCCAATGCTGAATTACAAAGGCAATCTAATACTCTCACTACAAAGGGAAAAACTCTCATGAACATTCATCAGTCACGTAATGAAAGGGCTGTGAGGTCACGGTTGTATCTGGAGAGCAAGAGTCTCCACTGCACACAGAGGGGATGTGATATTTTAGATTGCTGTGTGTGTGTGTGTGAGATTCAACTTCTTCTGACTTATTGACCTTTTAAACAGAAAACATTACACAAGAGCATCATGGGAAATAAATATCATGACTGAGATTCTGTCAAGAGTGTTTAATAAATTCCTGCAACTCGATAGTTTGGCATCTGGGCTGGTGTAAATATGGTACAAAGGCCCCTTATGCCACAATGAGAAGTAGTGATGAGATTATTGATAAGTCTGGAAATTATTAAATGTGCCATACGTGTGGTCTAACATCATTAGAGTTGAGCGGTATAGTAGTAGCAGGATGTTGAATATAGGATGCAGCAATGAATTGTCATTGGGGTATATATATATTTTTTTATATTTTTCCTTGCTTTTAGTGTAAACTCACTTAATTTTCATATTTTTCATATATCAGAAATCAAGAATTTGGTCATTTAGCATCTCAAGTAAATGTACCTTGATTTAATAATGTTTAGATATTTTTATGGGAAAACAAGACAAAAATAGAAAATAATTTTTTGCAGTGTAGACGGAGGATTGGATTGGACTAAAAGTTACCTCATGCGGGCAGATTTTTTGTGTTGATCAAACATTGGTGTAAGTTACCAATAGAAACCCACAGTGTGCATTAAAATGAAGGACAAATTAAGGTTTTTCAAGGGTTTAAAACAATAATACATAGTTATTGCTCTGTGCCTCAAATCACTTCTGTGAGCCATTATATATTTAGCATATTTAGCAAAGATTAGCTAATACTAAAAAGAGATGTGGAAGGAATCCATTATTGATCGTCAGTCTACTGTAATACGTACATCTGAAAGCACCTAGAGTGACTATAAAAGGTAGAATGTAAAGTATTTGATTGCTTGCCCTCTGGAACATTGTCATGAGTCTTCTGATGCTCTAGACCTTTTACAGGTACTTTCCAGCAGCCATACTCTTTTACACACAGACACAGTGGGTATAGAAAAGAATCACCCCCCTTTAAAATAATTACTTTTTTTGCTTTGCAGCCTGAAATGAAGATGGACACAGTTTTTGTTTTTTGCTGTATTTACTCGGTGCAACTTATAACATCCAAGTAAAAGATACAACACCATCATGTCATAAAAATAAATAAATAAATAAACAACCAGAATCACTGAGTTGGAAAAATGATCACCCCACTACTAAAAATGACTTGTAAACTCAGATGAGGCTAATCACCTTCTCAATGGCACACCAAGCCATTTGACTTTCAACTGTGTTCAGCTGTGGTCATTTTGATCAGCTCAGCATGAAAAGAATGCAGGAATTTATGACAAAGAGTGGTCATTGTGTGCGTGTGACAACATCACAAATTTTCCACAGATGAGGCTTGTATGGGAGGGTTCAAGAAAAAAAACACTCCTCAAGAAAGGCCACAAGCAGTCACGAGTCAAGACTGAGCTTTGACACAACGCACCTTGAAGATTCTGAGGCAGATGAGACTAAAATTGAATTATTTGGCCTCAACACCAAACGATATGTCTGGCAGAAATCCAAATATCACCATTCCTAGTAAAGCATGGAGGGGGTAATATCCTGTTATGAGGGTGTTTCTCTGCAGCAGGGACTGGAGCAATTG